TAACCCACCTTACCTAGTTTTCTGCCTACTAACCGATCGACAACGAGAATTCGACACTGAGAATCGCTTAGGTAATGTGAAATCAACTGATTGAAGTGTATAAAACAATGGATCATGATATTCGGCACTGCAAGCAGGCCTCAACAACTGTTGTATCTAGATACTGGGAGATGATGTCAACCATGCCACTTTGTGTGCTCGAAAAAACTAATTAATGAATGTCACCTACTTAACTGATACCCATGAATGTAAATCGAGTTTCAGTCCACATGATATTCGATTCCACTTTGTGAAACAAAAATGCACTCAAGACGACCTGTGTGTGTTTCTCTCAGTAGAACAGTGTTGACTGTATGTGTTTATATTCAACGAGTGTGCGTTAGTTGCACAAAGGTCAAACACATATTACTGTTCAATCCAGCAATCAACTAGTCTGCACTTAAGGTGATGAAATTGGTGATTTCAAAATGTGTTTATGTACTCCTGCACTCTTTGTGTTCACTTTTCAGGCTTCGAGATGGTAGTCAGTTTTTATAACACAATTACCTTATCAACTGTCTACGGTAGTACTGTACAATACACTGTTCAATAGTAACAATGTCGCAAGCAGCCAGGGAGGCGAACTTCCGGGCTTGACGGTCACAATTTAGTTTGTGTATATTTTAGCATGATTTGTTAGATTTACGAAGAACACTGAGTATCCAGTGGATCTAACTAGCAATCAATAATCAGTGGAGGGATTTTTCACTGTCATGGACACTCCATTTGAACATTCTTGCTCGTACTGTTTTCATTGAGGGGTGCATGACGAGTATTTGAACTCATATCATTTGTCATTCACTCTAACGCTTTTGAATAGTTTATGTTTACTTGTTTCTTTTTGATTTTGCTACAGTCCAGTGTTTATAATCCTGTCAAGTTCACTACTCAAATTTATCTTGATGGACGCAAATCACGCTTCAGTTGAATAGACTGGCTGTGAAGACCACCCAAGGAACAACTGAATTAGGTAAGTAGACTTCACTAATTTTGAAAAAACTACCTTTCACATTTATGCAAATGACGCCAGCTGGTTAACTGAGTCGTTGTTTAGGCGAACTTTAAAATGTCTCTTTGAATGTACATGACATATTTCAACACACCATAAATTTTCGTTGGCAGCCTTTTATCTGTGTGAAGAAAGAATTAAGTTGAGAACTCATTGGTGTGTACTCCTAGCTGTCCTGCAGTCACTCATCAATCTGCCATGTTACAAGAGTTATTTGTAAACGTATTCAGTTTCCTCTGTATTCACGACGCAGATCTATTTTGTCACTTCCACGACTCAGCAGGATAAACATTCTATTTATTGAAGGCATTAAACTTTCAGAGTTTCACACTCCATCGTGAATGCGTCATGCAAAAGATTTGAAACCATATTTTCTGCAGTGCATTACCGCAGTTGACAGTTATCCAATGTACCTATTTTATTATATGGGGAACAAAGAGTGGCCTGCTTGAACTCTGGGCTACGGTTTACTATCATCGAGTATATTGCATCAAATTTCTTATTTCTATATTGTTTTAATCGTTTTATTATGTCAACCAATCGTATTGTATATTTTCGCGCGTTTTTAAAATCATTACAACCTATCGCTTCGCAAGTTGATAGAAAATTTAAGAAGAAGCACCACGGTGGATGGCAACGAGCTCTGAAGCGTATGACCATAGATCAAATGACTATTCCGGAAATAATTAGCACAAACTGCAGATCGTTGCGGAATAAAGTTGATTACCTTCAGTCACTCTTGTCCACAAATGTTTATCAAAACACGGGTGTAATAATGCTGCAGGAAACATGGCTTCATAACCTGTATGATGATGACCTAGTCTGCTTAGATGGTTTCAAATTATTTCAACAAGATCTAAGCTTTTAGAAGAAGAAATGTGGTGGTGGTGGTGTAGTAACATTTATTAGTACTAACTGATCGTCCTCCAACTATGTATGCTTCTGCTTCTCTAACGAAAAAATTGGGTACATTACCATCAAATGTCGTCGCAAACATTTGAGCAAATACAAATACACATATATCACAAACATGTATGTCACACCTGACTGCAGTTTCTCAGAGTTGTCAACTTTTGCTGATAAATTCACTGGATTTGCTGCTCCAGTTCTGGGAAACTCCTTGTCTATCGTCTACGGTGATTTTAACTCATGTGACTACAGTGTTCTATTATCATTGGGTCATAAAAATATGGTTAACTTTTCCACTCTTTTCTTCACAACACCTTAGACTTTGCATTTACAAAGGAACCTGGCATACATGAAGCCCGTAAACGGGCTCCACTGCTTAATTCTGGCCACTGTATTGTTTGTGTTTTGCCTAGTGTACGGAAAATTATACAAGAAAGCTTTTTCATACCTTTCAAGGAAAGTTCAATACAGATGCTATTCACAAGAAAATATATTACGTTTGAGAAGCATGCTTATAGAAACGGACTGGGATTTATTTGCTGATGAAGTTTTAGACAACACTAATACCAATATCACAAGGTATCTCAGATTCTGTCTCGATATCTGTTGCCCTACTGAAACAATTTATATGAGATTTGACAGACTTTCCTCTCCTCATCTCAAGAGTCTTCTGAGAGAAAAGGAAAGGTTAAGGCGAGAGATCAGCCTGGCGTTAAAAGGCTTAACTGTCTAATTAAGTCTGAAATACAACGTCTGAATACTATATACAACGAGTTCTTATCGTGTAAGAACTCTTCCAATATATGGAAATTATTTAAAGAGCTTACTGGTAAAAAACAGATGACAATAGAAACTCGTTCGAATGTCTGCGCGTTAAACAAGTCATTTATACTTCGGCAAGCTGATTTCAGCCTTCCTAATGTGCAAAATCAAGTGGATAGCTGCTTTCCAGGTTTCAATACAAATGATTTATTTAAATGTCTAAAGTCTTTGAATCCCTCCCTAAGCTTAGGTCCTGATGGTGTTTCTAGTAGCATATTTAGAAAATGTGCAGATATTTTATGTCATCCACTTACAGATATCTTCAATGTATAGTTCTCTATAAACATAATACCCACTATTTGGAAGCAGATAAAAATTTTACCTGTGCCTAAGCTATCTTCTGGATCAGATGTTACTTTTCAACCCATCGTTATAACTTCCCCTTTTCTAAAGACAATGGAGAAATTACTTCTGCTTGTGATTGAGCCTTCATTGATGGCTTTCAGAGATCCAAAACTGTTTGCTTACAGACACCGGAGGAGTACTTTAGATGCATCTACTGTCTTGCATCATAATATTGTTTCTGGTCTCGACAAAAGTGTTGAGTATGTCCGTTGTGCCTTTTTGGATTACTCATCAGCCTTTGACTCTGTTCCTAGACCAGTTTTGTTAAATAAGCTTGCCATAGCTCACACTGATCCATGGGTTACAAAGTGTCTGCATTGTTATTTTTCTGAAAGGAAACAGCACACTATTCATAAAGGGATGCGCTCCACTTCACTGCTTACTGAAGCTGGTGTGCCTCAAGGTGCTGTACTTTCTCCTTTTCTGTTTTCCTTTTTTTGCACAATTTGCCTTATTCTGTTGAAACTAATTTTATCAAGTATGCTGACGACTTGAAGATTTCTATTCCAGTAAACTCTTCTTTGGATTGCTCGAAATTAAATGAATTCTTGTCTGAAGTTGGTAAATGGTCTCTGTCAAATGGTCTCAAACTAGACTCCTCTAAATGTCAGACCGTTAATTTTAGCCTCAGGCATAAACGAGACTTATGTGAGCTGCTTAAATCTCATGACGCCTGCTGCATCAATGGTATTTCTGCAGAAATTAAATCGAGTGCGAACTATCTTGGGTTGTGTTTTACTTCTGACCTTTGTTAGTCGTCCCATATTTGACTTGTAAAAAAATCTTTCGTTTAACTTATTACGTAAAGAAATTGAGGCTTTCTGGTATAACTCAACTGCCTCTTTTACAGTTTATTAATTCCTGCATTTTATCTATTCTTCTATATTGTTCCCCATTAATCTTTCCTGGTCTTCTTAAAAAGAACAGAAATCACACATCAACTTTGTGACAGTTAAAAATCTCATTTCAATAATTCAACTTACAATCCAATTTTTTTTCGTTTTTAATATTCTCCACATAACTTAAATTTTTATAATAAAACAATTCGAAAGGCTACAAAGCAGTATGTACATACTTATATTTTGTTGTTATTGCAATATATATCACGCTGAGAATTCCAAATTGTACCACAAATTGTTTGGAATAAAGTGAATTATTATTATTACTAAAATCGCAACTAATCACTTGATGAACTGTTTCCTTTCTGTGTGTAAACAAAGTCCCAGTGTTGGGAAGGATAACGGCTCATGTTCAGGATGTCTTCGGGATGTGCGAGATGTGTTATTTTATGGATGAGAACCGGATCCATCATATGTGTCGTCTCACCGAGAAGAATGTGTCGACTGTGTTAACTGAAGTGACCCTTATTGGTGACAGCTGACATGTGATTCCGGTCGAACAACGGACCGACAAGACAAGAGTTGTGTTTCGATCTTCACACTTCATTTTTGCATATCCATAGATGAATTCAGTGTACCCTATCTATTCATAACTCAGGTGTTGTTTCATAACACTCTAATGGGTGGTTAGTTATGATAATGCAGGTGCTGATCTATCGAGATCCGCTGACATTACCTGCGTCAATACAGTGAGCGATTATGATATCTCAGCAATAGACAACACCACTATCATGTCATATGGATTATTCGACAACGATTAATGCACTACATGAATTATTCTCTGGTGACTTACTCCAAGGATTCAGTCATCTACTTCAGTATCTTATGTGAAAAGGCAATCTAACATTTTACTGACAAGAAAATCATTCTGATTGCCACAGTTGGTTAACGCTTTTTCCACTTTACAGCTACAAACATTCAGCTCTATACTAAAATATCTAGTAACTGACACACATACAGGGATTAATAAAACAATTTTGAGCATGCTCCAATTCAGTCACTTTTTTGAATGATATTTCAATCATATTACGTAACGATAATGTATAAGTTAGCATTGGCATCAACTTTAAAATTGTTGAGAAAGTAAAATATCGGCTAATCTTAGAAGTGAAAATATTCAGTTTGAAAGAAGTCACCTACACACAAAGACCACAAATGGATGAGGGAAACATTAGAAGGTTAAACACTTATCTGAGGTTATACTGTGATACAAGTCATGAGATAGTACTAAACACGAGTTCAATGGGACAGTATCCTTTGGTTCTTTGCTTCACCATAGAATATAGGCAGTAGCTCTCACGAATACTAAGAGAAATATGATAGTCTTTGTGTGAATGTTCAGTTTCATCATTGCATTACACAGATCGGTTGTGCAGCACGACACCACAGATCCTTCTACGATTTCGTCACAGCTAGTCAGACAATATTTGTCGGTGGAATATTCATTTCTTTTGATCTAGGAAAAAGAAATGAACTATTAGCATTTGAATACAAATGATATTGCGGTTTATTTAGAGTGGACAGAGTTAAATCGACATCGACTTCTAAACAGTCGACTTTTCAGATAGTGTTCACATCTCGATACATGGCCCCATTGTCATCTGCGATTATATTTTGCACAGTGATCGACAGAACTCCAAAATCGACATTGTCTTCAAAACTCACACTTGCTCACTGACAAGATCCTATTAACTAATAAGCAAAGTCCAGATTAGGCTACTAACATGTGCACATATTTATCAGCTTCAGGTGCCAAATAAATAACCAAACCTCCATTCGTTTCAAAATTCATTCATGAATGGTTTGTAGCCAAATCGTCCAATCGATTCCACGTCGGCGTATTACCTGCATTAGGCATTTGCATAGTCACACTATTGTCAGGATATTCAGATTCAGGGAACGCTGTTCTAGGCAAATTTCTTACTTGATCAGACAGCTGAAACGGTTGAGTATTCTACTCATCTGAATGTACCAGCATCGCAAATGCATTCTCGATACATTATTACAGTGTGGAGAGTACTTTTATGTGATCACCATAAATTCGGATGTGGAGGAGGTGATTCTAGTGGGGTGTGCACCCGATTGATGAACAGTGTGACTGTTGACATCCTCAACCAATTTTCTCATTCTCTGTAAATAATAGATGATCTGTTAGTCAACCTGTTGAATAGAAGGTCAACATGAGTTTGTTGACCGAAGACCTGAATTCGCCCGCATTGGACATTGCTTCTAAAGTATACTGTTCACTGTTTATTTCACCTTCATGAACTCAGTATTGACGATTACTGTCCTCTGAAAGTATGCAAGTAGGGGTGCCATCTTCTTCGAACCAACGCTGATGAAATTATGCAAACAAAACTGATCTACCTTCGTCATTGACTGTCTTCTTGAAGGTGATAATAGAAGGAGATTGGCAACTGCACTGTACCAAATCAGTGAATCGCATACACCACATAATGAATGCAACTTGTAGTAGGAAAGTTCACAGAGAACCTGTTGACCCTATTATGACGACGGTGGACAAAGTGGATATACATTTATTCCTTTTGAACACAGAACACGTTTTCTTGCATTGATACCCATGGCTTCGGCAATGGATAAGATGTGCAGTCGTGCGCCTTAAGGGAGATTGCATTGTTGTTGTTGCTCTTTGTCAAGAGTACAGTCCAATCACATCCAATAGATACCGGACATCAGATCACGCCTTTTATGTGATATATCGTGTCACATTTAACCTCCCTAAAGGTGGACAAATAGGCATCATATCCGTAGGTGTCTATGTAAGAAAACTGATCTATGTGTTCAGAAGAAATATGCGTATCTGTATTGTTTACTTTGGTCCACAATAAGTTCGACACGTTATTTATAAACTTTCCTACCACCAATTGCACATTTTAACCCCCAACCTCTTTCTTCTATATTATCACAACATTGGTAAACATTCATTTTCTTATGTTTATAGTTCTGTGTCCTTCTTTATTCATACCACCAACTGAAGCGAATCTGAGTCATGACGTAACACATCACATTTGTTACTTTTTATTTCGTTATAGCATTTTAAAGTTTTCACCCAATAGAAAATGATTCACCACTACATAATTATTATTTGATCACAGTAAATAGACACACTCATGACCAGTAAATGTAACATCATCGTAGACTTCTCTCCAAATTAAGTAGTTGCTCTAGCAGTAGTGATTCATTGCACACTAACAACTAATTAGAAATCAATTAAACAGACCATCAGATTTTATCTCAATTCGGCTCTAGCACTGACGGTTTCAATACATAATAAATGAATATGAATATAGGCAAATCAGGTGATAACTTCCACCTACCCCACACGCTCCACAACCAGACTCAATTCTTCCAATGCTATTTGTGCAGTCTGAACAAATATGACACCTGATCGCATCCCCTACAAAAGAAATATTGAAAGCAAACATCAATGTTCACATTACAATATTATCTATCGAATCACTCCCACCACCACCACCTTGAACATAAAAACATCAGCTTCGATACATTCACCACTGTTACAGTCAAATTCTGATATAGGAACATGCAGTCGTTGTCACTGGTGCAAACATAGTGAACAGACTCAGCGTTCAGCTTTACACAGACTTCGACTCATTTGTGGCTCAAACATCCATTTACTGGATTGAGTGCTACCCTGAAACTAATTACCTCTCATGTAGGAGGCATATCATAGTTAGGCAGAATGTCAACCTAAGTTTGAGATCCATCACAAGTGGTGGAATCCCTGTTTCCCAACCGGATAATGTTTTCGAACACCGCACTTTCAAAAACAAACATGCATACCTCCACCCTTCATGGTGGTCACGTCTGTGACTTCAGAACCGTTCCATGCAGGTTCCGATTACTGATAGAACACAGTAGTTTCCTCATGCTCGCAAATTCAGTTTGCAGATGTACACCAACAAGCATGAAGCTCCTCTACAGTGTTTACTACCGATTCGTTGTGACCATCCACTGCCACTGCATAAGTTTATTTCAATGTCAGCACTTTTTAAAATCTATCAGCTACTCATCAGTTGTCAGTCGGTTCATGCACCCTCTCTGATTCCACCAATCAATGACTGCAAACAGACTTTGTGCACGCATAATCTTGATTTCTCTCCGTGAGAATTTCACTAATTACTGACTCGAATCAATTCACATTCTACCCAGTGAGGTAGGATTTCGTTTGCTGGTGTGATTAATTGGAAGCTTGTGTCCACCACTTCTTCAGGGCTAGTTCAGTGTTTCCTGACATCATAAACAGAATGGCTATGCAGCAGTTCACGGCACCAATCATGTGGCTGAATTGATCAAGGATCTCTCCACCTTCACTGTGATGCAGTCCTCTCAAAATCACTAAAGACTCCTTTCAGTGATGCATGTCAATAAGACAACTTAGAGTTAAGTTGAAATATGCAATCGCAAAGCTTTTTAGATCTTGTTAAGGTGGAGTAACTTGTCAACATTGGTGTGAGGATGGGTGTATGAATGTGTACACTTGCGTAGGATGACATCGACAGTGACATGAAGTTCTTTGCATTTTCAGATACTAGAATAACCGCTGCTTTGATTTATTTGAATTTTAGCTGAGCAACGAAAGAATGATCTAGTAATGATGGGTGAAACAAGCAATAACAGTGAAAGAATGATCTCCTACAGGAACACATCTGTTGACATCATGAAAGTGTATCATCTTATTCATGTATGGAGTATGGCAGTGATTGATGCGAAGAACTACTGGCATGTTGAATAAAAGGAAAGTGTGCATGCCAACCTTGGGAGTAAAATACATAGTTTCAATTACACACTTATCATTCTAGTGGTATTTGATGACAGACACCTTTCGAAAAGCGATGAACAAACATTTGTCGAAGCGGGAAAGATCACTTCATTTCAGTATCAACTTGTCACTAGAGTTGTTCATTTATTTGGTTGTCATACATGATGCCACGTTCTTAAAAGTATCTTGCATTCTTGCATCGGTCTCACTAAGTTAACTTTTCAAATGGTTTCGGAACACAACCTTTTAATAGAAAGTGATGAGTCGATCTTATCAATCGCTTGTTTTGTGTTTGCATATAATAAAGTTTCAATTGTTTATGTTTCATTCAGAAACGCAGATGAAATGCCAAGTTATTACAATCAGGTTTACTACAAAATGATTCTTCTGACTACGTCACACTCACTTATTGTCCACCCCAATTCATTATCTCGCAATCTTGTATCGTTAGGTTTCGGTGTTGAAATAATTTGTGAGTAGTTTACACTATTGCATAGATTTTTATAACATACTGACAGTTTGAATGGCTTGTATATTGGGAATTGCACCGAGAATTTACTAAAGCAAGATCGGGAGACTTTATCGGCGGTTCCAAAGGTCTGTAATTTTTCAAATGAAGAAAAGAAAAAATTTATTGTCAAAAAACAATGTTTTGTTTTCTCCTAAGACATAGGCAATGAAATATCTATTTCTACAGTTTCGTAGTCACTTTTCTGAAACAGTTCAATGGAAATGAATGACACATTTTTACGTAATTTAATCGTGACATCAACAAAATTTGACATCTACTGTTACTTCTGTAAGTGAGCCTTGATAGAAGCATTTTTAGCTACTATAACAACAACAACTACTACTGTATTAGCGCATTTAACTTTTCCAAAGAAGGGTGAAAATAGGTTTTGAGAGGGACAAATCAGAGTAAATTATAACCATGTCTTATACTTCACAGTTAGTTTAATGCTGTGTGGAAATAAGTTTTGTAGTCATCACTTTTCATTAGAAAGTTCTTTCTTTTCGAAAATAGACCATTTAGATAGTGAAAAGTCTGTTCACTATTGGGAGATTTCCTTATTCTGGTCAAAACGTGTTGCTCAATCTCTGTGATAACTTCTTAGATGCCAATACTGACAAAACGTACTAAGAACGGCGTCATTCTCACTAGTCTAGACTAGACTATTATTCATAGAAATTCGAATGGATATGTGAAATTCAACCTGCTACATTGAGGTTAGTTGTAGCCATTGTACAAATAATACTCTTTTCTCCTTCGTTCACGGACATAATTATGTTTGTCTGCCATTAGTGACTTGTGAACATACAATATAAGAAAGCCCACAATTTCGTAACATGTACATGCAATAGGCAAAGCCATATAATATTGTATTCTCAATGCCTATGTGAAGAAAAAATGTGTATACGGCACACATCTGCCTTCCTCATAATTACAGCCACCTAGGTTGATAATCTCAGCACTCATAATTAATTCGCCATAAATGAAATTATTTATGACATGGGTATGTGGCCCAATCTTTCTTTCACAACTCAACGAGACAATTAACTGTCAAAAAATTTCAAATCCAGGAACGATAAACTCTGTTTACAGTAACCTACATTCATCTCCTTACTACACTCGTCATATCACAACTAAATTTGATAGAAATATCGAATTTCATAGGGCTGAAGGTTATCAATTACAGGTGCATGAAAGTTAAACATCCATGATTACACACGACTCATCAACAATCACACTAAGCATCCCACTTCAAAAATCTCACTCAAAACTGGACGAGTGAAGCACATGCCTGCCCTATTTGATCACAGTAAACATAATTCACAGGCTCTTTATTTGCAGGTTGAAATCATGTGAAAGACCACTGAAATGTCAGACTTACTGAACACGCCAAGCAGTTGTTCTTCACCGGTGTCGCATCATTTATATCACGACAAGATTGACAATCATAACATTGGTATCGTAGACAGTTGTCTGTATAGATAATAGAAGAATTTATTGTGACTCAGTAATCAATCAACTGAATAGGATATTTCAAATTTGCCTTCATTATCGAGAAAGCTGTTAATTTCATGCATATAACCATAATTTTCTTGAATTATTCCATTTACTCAACAGACATGTCAGGTGAGTTATCTGACCAACACAACGTGTGTTAACTCACTCAATACTCTATTTTCCAAACAGATGATACCTGGAGACGGTGATGAGAGTAAGCAATCGGCTCCAGTAAAAGAACATGAACTTGTTTGTTGGTTTGTTGAATGACCAATATATAGTTTCAGGATGAAGAAGCCTTCAACTTCAGTTTCCACTTCTTATTGTCTATTCGTTTGGCATGGTCAGATTTCCCCTTCTCCTATCGTTCCACTATACAAAGAACTTCAACATGGACTGACTGCAACTAATCTTATAATGCTCTTCACCAAGTCGTCCAACGCTAACCAAATTATTTAGCTGATAATTAAATGTTGTCTATTTGTTTCTGTCTAACTGCAGAAGCTTACCTGAGTAAAATCAACCAGAGTGAATAAAGTTACTGAAGACACATCTGACCGATTGAGATATGAGTAGGACTAGATAAAAAGAGGATATTTCATGTTTTCAGTGAAAATTTCTTGGAATTATTAGTGAACAGTTCACCAACACTGCAACTGTACCATTGAAGAGAAGAATCGAGTAACATGGAATCATTCTAATGAACAGATATTCAGAGGTATTGGCAAAAATCTGATAGCCACTCCATATATGGAAGACAACTGGTTGTTCACATAGCAATTCATCAGACAATTAATTGTGTGCCAATGTGGGAATGTTCAAAAAATGTAACCTAGAACAATAAGAACTTCTTGATGTTGTTCGCGATTCTGATACTTCTCAGACTAAACTAATCTAGGCTGGTAATTTAAACCGATGTAGTAGTATCAAAATAAGGAGAACCTTGGTTGTGCTACGAGGTTCGAGTCTCAGTGTGGGAACAACAACACTCACTGGGGTGAAGGTATATCCAGCTGACAAGTCTCAATCAAGTAGGACGAAGCACGTATCCTGAATTCCTCTGCTAGCCACAACCAAGTAAATTGTAATAATAAATATTCAGGCAATTTCAAGGCATTCTCATGGGAGCCCATATGCCAAAAGAGGTCAAGCAATTCGATTCAGTACAACAACGAAGAATTACAGGCGTATCAGCAAACAGTAAGAAAGACAAAATATTCAAGTATTTCAAAGTTGGAAGTGGACCACTCATTTAAAGTTGTTCTGCGTGATAGCAGCGTATGTATGAACTGTCAGACATGCATTTATAAACAGCAATACAGACTGTGAAGAAGGAAGTGGTGCTACCATTTAGTTCTCCCTTGACAAGTCGATAAGACCAGTGAGTCCCGATTCATTGAAATAAAAATGTTGTTGGGCCATCAATACTTACATTTGTTTATGATATTCACTAGAAAATATAGAAAGATTGCGAAGAATTCCACCCTTCTCCTCATAATAATGTGACTTCTGACTGTTTGTTTAAACAAGAAGAAGTGAAGAGACATTTAGATATATTTTCAAATTAGTGCAGACCTGATGAATGAATCCTCACGTGTCAGCCAATCGGATGACAAATCAGGTGACATTTACCAACCTGACTACTCGGTCTGTTATTTACAATTGAGTGTGCTTATCCGTTGTGTCAATAATTTAGAAGCTGTGAACGTCCAATCGCTCACTACTGAATGGATGACAAGTGTGCAAGTGGATTACGACTTATGAAATCAATTCAACTCATTGATCCAATTACTTCATAGAACTCTGGAGACTGGTGCTGTTATTTTATTTTACCTCGTTCATCAGATTTTGTAACGCAACGATGCATTTCTCTAGTAAGCAATATCACACTACCTGTCCTTACATCTCACCCATATGTCGACGCTTTTACTGTGTAAAACAGTATGAGCTGTAATTGAGGATTCACGTCGATGCACTGTGACATTTATTTGTCATCGATGTTCACTAGATTACGGGGCCTAATGCAGCAGATGCCACTGACACAAAGTTAAATGGGTAACTATCTAAATTAGTTCTGCAGTACAGTATTCCAGATATGTTACTTTCTTGGAACGACGAAACGGCATAAGGCATAGTTGTGTATCATTTTCTAACTGTCATTTGTAACTCAGTAAACTCTTCTAATGTAGTCTACTGAGAAAACGTGGAAATTTCACCCGAAACGTAACCCCTGGTTTCAAACTCACATCCACCAGTTTCAGCTGCCAACGTACTACGAAATGTTTTCGTAAGTATCATATCACTGTTTAATTGTTTATCCAGATAGCAGTCTTTAATGCATTGTCAATATAGATCTCATCTCACATAAGCTGCCATGAAAACAGTAGTCGTATATTCCAAGTCAGAAGAAATTTCCGAAACCAGTTATTGTGTCTTATATGACTACCTTTAACTTTGTCTGCTCTCACCTTCTCAACCATTTCTAGAGTCTTGACATCAGTTTTCGACACATACATTTTCCTTTAGCTCTCATATATTGAAGATTGTGAGAATGACTGGTTCGTTTCATTTAGAAGTGTGATAAAACTTTAATCACATGAATTTCATTTTTTTATAGTTATAATAGTCCTCTTTTGATGAAACCAGATAAATTCGACAGCCCACAGCATTGCATTACTCATATTAGTTGACGTAATCGTGCAAATCATTCATCCCGCTGAGACCTCAAGTCTCTTTTTCCAAAGACTTTACAGCTGTGGACGACAGCTGCCTTGAATGTAAGCCTGTGTTACTTCAGTTTTTGTTTTCACAGTGAAATTTCCGCACAGTTTCCAAGACTGGCTTGATTCTACAAGTATACTGTGTGGTTGATACTAAATTCGTACTAGAAATTTTATTTCTTCATTCGTGTGTTTACACTACCACATGTAACTTACGAATAGTCGTTGATGACACTCTTGAAGTCAATTCTCATTCAGATTAACAGATATATACAAGGGGTTTTAATATGGACACATGGGACTTACTGTCATCTCGGATCAGCCAATCACAAAAGTTAATCGAGCATCTTGTTGGCTGGAAACATATCGGGCACCACAGAAATCGGTGAACAAGTTGAAATACGTTGTTGCCAGTCACGGTAAGAATGTCAGATGCCTATTATCTCATCTTGAAATACTTGATGACTGAAAGCGAACACGATTATGATAGTCACAGAAGAAAAGATTTAGGGCTGTCATCGAGAAGAATTGATAAAACTCTTATTTGAATCATCCCTGAAGTTGTGTATGCAGTTGTTGTTTGGAAACACCGTAAAATCTCACTCACCAACTGTTTTGAGACCATGTAGATAACATGAAACCTTAGCTTTGGAATATACCTTCTCTACTTTGATGCAACCATGAGACTACTTCTGGTTCTGTGTTACCTGATGCGATTCAGAGACATCTTACGGAAATTAACTAATAGATGTGGGTTAAGCAAGAGTATCGTTGCTTTGTTGTGTACTGCATCATGCTAACATGAATTGTCATTCAGTCTAGTCGGGCAGTCTGATGCAACTATAGGCTGCCATATAAATAAGTGTCTACCTTTTCAAATAATGCTGTAAAAGGTGGATAGGTTATGAGGAACATTGAAATCTTCAGCACCTTTAGTCCTCCGACATGTCATTTTCCTAATCTATCACGTCTATCAGGCATATTTTGATGGGCAAAATCATGCTTGAAGTAAACTTGATGGAGATGCTTCACTTCGCAACACAGTGGCTGGAAAATGCTGAAAACGGTTTCTCATGACTTATTGAGGAAAATTGTAGCATAGAGTGAATCGCATCTGCACACCAATCAGTTCTCACCTCAGTTTCTCAAAAGACTAAGTCTAATAGTCTATGTCTGTGAAATAATTCATCGAGTGATCATTGTGTGAATTGTCAGCTGATATAACGGAAACAAATAGACTTGTATGTAACACAGTCTGCTTCATGTACCGAAATAACACTGATACAATCGTAATTTTTGTGCCTTCAAGCACTAAGCATTTATAAGAGTTTAGGATCAGAAATATATCTCAAATATACTAGCTATTTATCATTAGCCCTATACTAACATGCATATTAACAGTTACTATCAAATTATCAATCAAAAGGTGATGACAGTTTTACTTTTTATTAGTCATGAGGATAATCAGTTCGAGATATTAGGGTATAAATAATAAATTGAGTCATTATGCGTAGTATAAAATTGCAATTGTGCCAATATGAAACAATTTGTTTTTGACAAACTGCTGATGAGGTAAATGAAGTGTATATGCAGCTCACACGACAACATTACATTGCTATGGTTGCAGTGCTATGTTTCTGGCACATAACTAGTAGTTACTGTTTTTCAGAAAACTTCAATAAATTGACAAGACAAAACCATCGAATATTTTTAAACGCTTACCAACTGATACTACAAGACATTAACAGTCAGATTTGATATGTGAAGTGATCACATCGTTTATTCAGACTGTATTCACTTCTGCTTAACTATTTGAGGAAAATACTCGTAAGGCTACAGAACTACACAGCATATTGTCAGTTTCTTTGATGACACTAAGAAGGTGATTCTACTAATTAATTATGGTGAAGTCCATTTTTCAAACAGCTTACAAGTCATTGAAGTCAACAGTGGAATTATACGTATTTGCATTAGTGATGGCTGAATGCCTATGCCAATGAATCAGGCCATCAAGCTGTCAGTGTGTTATGGTAATGTCTGTGGTTGTGCGAGCCACTCTTAAATTAGGACGACCAGTTAGCATCGCGATTATAAATCAAGGTTGAAAATAGGTAAGTGTAAAATATTTCGAATTATCTTTGCTCAGTTTGAAATCGCATGAATTTTAGCAGAAGTTTATTTTTGTGTAGAGATCCTTATGCTTATATTTGAGAATGCTCAGTGCGTTTCGAATGTGAGTGTTCTGTCACTGTCGATGTCATCCTACGCAAGTGTGCACATTCATACACCCATCCTCACACCAATGTTGACAAGTTACTCCACCTTAACAAGATCTAAAAAGCTTTGCGATTGCATATTTCAACTTAACTCTAAGTTGTCTTATTGACATGCATCACTGAAAGGAGTCTTTAGTGATTTTGAGAGGACTGCATCACAGTGAAGGTGGAGAGATCCTTGATCAATTCAGCCACATGATTGGTGCCGTGAACTGCTGCATAGCCATTCTGTTTATGATGTCAGGAAACACTGAACTAGCCCTGAAGAAGTGGTGGACACAAGCTTCCAATTAATCACACCAGCAAACGAAATCCTACCTCACTGGGTAGAATGTGAATTGATTCGAGTCAGTAATTAGTGAAATTCTCACGGAGAGAAATCAAGATTATGCGTGCACAAAGTCTGTTTGCAGTCATTGATTGGTGGAATCAGAGAGGGTGCATGAACCGACTGACAACTGATGAGTAGCTGATAGATTTTAAAAAGTGCTGACATTGAAATAAACTTATGCAGTGGCAGTGGATGGTCACAACGAATCGGTAGTAAACACTGTAGAGGAGCTTCATGCTTGTTGGTGTACATCTGCAAACTGAATTTGCGAGCATGAGGAAACTACTGTGTTCTATCAGTAATCGGAACCTGCATGGAACAGTTCTGAAGTCACAGACGTGACCACCATGAAGGGTGGAGGTATGCATGTTTGTTTTTGAAAGTGCGGTGTTCGAAAACATTATCCGGTTGGGAAACAGGGATTCCACCACTTGTGATGGATCTCAAACTTAGGTTGACATTCTGCCTAACTATGATATGCCTCCTACATGAGAGGTAATTAGTTTCAGGGTAGCACTCAATCCAGTAAATGGATGTTTGAGCCACAAATGAGTCGAAGTCTGTGTAAAGCTGAACGCTGAGTCTGTTCACTATGTTTGCACCAGTGACAACGACTGCATGTTCCTATATCAGAATTTGACTGTAACAGTGGTGAATGTATCGAAGCTGATGTTTTTATGTTCAAGGTGGTGGTGGTGGGAGTGATTCGATAGATAATATTGTAATGTGAACATTGATGTTTGCTTTCAATATTTCTTTTGTAGGGGATGCGATCAGGTGTCATATTTGTTCAGACTGCACAAATAGCATTGGAAGAATTGAGTCTGGTTGTGGAGCGTGTGGGGTAGGTGGAAGTTATCACCTGATTTGCCTATATTCATATTCATTTATGTACAGTGCGCCGAATTGCAAGATAAACTGATGTGTTTAATTGATTTTGTGATGTGTTTGACTCAGTGATTCGCTTTAGTTCAGTGGCAAATCTGTTTTCATTATCACTCGCAAGTAGATGGGTAATGACTGAAGCACATCAACCTTAATTCACGTCATTTCATCAGCGTTTGTTTGAGGAAGATTTCACCTCTACCTGTGTACTGTCAGAGAAGAGTAATGAGTAAAATTTGGTCTAGTCTACTTCAGAATCATCGATTATGTGGTCACACACAATTTGATTAAACCATTAGTAAACAAATGTTGACTTAATATTATTGGTTGAGGAAGCCTACAGTCACAGTGTTCATCGAAGGAGGGCACAGGCGACTCGTCTCAGCTG